GGTCTGTCACGAGTCAGCACGCCCTCACTCTCTCTTCGTGGGCGGAACCTTCCTACTGTGTCAGCGTGGGCGAGGTAGTTTATATGGGCCAGGAGCTTACACCTACACCCACACTCACACTCTAAGTTTCCGTGTGTGGGAGTGATTAAAGAGTGTGTACAAAGCTTTGGAATTTCTCTGATAAGAAATTATATTATCGTTCAGGGTCTTTGGTGTGTATATATATAATTGCTTTCATGTGGTGTAAAGGGATTTATCTTTTTTTTTTAAATCTAGCATGCACCAAGGCTGAAGGGAAGTTCAGAGTTAACTACAAGAAAAATAAAATTACATTTGAATGAATAAAAATAGGTTTACGACTTATGGCGCGTGGTATCATTTCTGTGGAAGGAGCTTATCTGAAGTGTGTTACATCTGTACTGCATTCCAGTGAACATTGTTCCTGGCTATAGTTTGATTATCTTCATAAACTAACTAGATATTGATAGGAACATAACAACTCGTGGGAATTGTTAAACTGTATCAATTTTGTCCATTTACCTTTAGTCTGATGTCAGTCTGATCTCTTTGACTGAATGGTAGCATAATAGTGCTTTAAAAATCTAAATTTCTAAACTAGATTCCGCCTTCTTAAGATTAAATGATCAAAAACTCCTATATGTCAGGTAATTATGGGTATAAAGTCTTACTGAACGACACCCCTGAACTCGGTAAGACGAAGGAGCTGAATTCCAGTTTGCATAAACCTCCCCTGCCTATTGGGGTATTTTGAATGGCCGAAGTGAATCATCTTTTCTAATGCAGACAGCTGGTTTGAGCCGAGAGGTTCATGTGGGGTAGAGGGTGGCGCTCGGGCCGCTCGGGGAAGGCATCGGTGCCACCTGATAGCCCCAGGACGTGCCAAATGAGTGCCACTGCCAACCCCCCTGCGACCCCCTCGCCCTTCCCGAAGATCAAGGATTCTACATTCATTCCTCTCGTAGTCTCTCTATTAAAGCCAATAGAGTTCATAAATTCACCCGGTGAGATATGGCACGCCGATGGCACCTCGGGGGAGAGGAATGATGGGCAGGAGGGAAGGGGAAAGAAGGGGCAGGGGAGGGGGAAGAGGGGGGGGGGAGCTGGCTGGCACCCCCAAGTCGTACGGACGGGCCGTTGGGAGAGGAGGGGAGAGCAGGGGAGAGGGGAGGAGTGAGAGGCGGAAGTTGGCAGCGGCCCTTGGTTCGATGCTCTGCCGGTCATGTTCAGATTTAACACGAGTGGCACTTGGCCGAGCTGGGGGAGCGCGTGGAAACTGGGGGAGGAGAAGACTGGGGAAGGGGGGGAGAGCTGGGAAAGAGGGAAGAGGAAAGAGGGAAGGGGAGTGGAAGAGAACGAGAGAGGACTTTGCATAAGGTAATAAAGCAATAAAGAGGGGGAAAGAAGGGAAAGGGGCAGAAACGGGAGACCAAGGGTATCGCGGAGCCATCTCGAAAACCATCCGATACGACAAGAATAGTTCCATTTTACTTTAGCTGATCCAGTCTTCGTGACAAATGCATGGATTTTACATACAAGCGGTGCATGACTGATGTTCAAGGTTCGTACCTGTAAATGTATCTTTTTCAACGTGATGTGCTAATATATGATGGCTTTATAATTATGTCATGTATTAGTGATAAAATTAAAGTGTCGTTGTTTCGAAAATAGCGTATACATCTATGTAATCTATGAATTATCTGAATAGTTCCAATTTGTAATTACAGAACAATAAAATGATTGTTTTATATGAAAATTCCACATACTTTACATGACTACTACCGTGAGTGAACTGTATGGAGCTTCTATAATGTAATGAATGAATAGGACCTTCTTTTGAAGATAATTACTGAATGACTTACGGACAGACTGAGCCACAAGAAGAAAACAAAATTTTGCACATGAGATTGTTCTTATGACTAAAGCTAAGAGACATAATCTACTCACACATGAATTCCCATTATGAATCATTTACACATAAGCTATTTCTTATAATGAATTCCAATATTTGCAAATCAAACAATTTATATTATACTTCGCGAAATTACATGATATTATATTAATTGTTTTAAGTGAAGAGTAACTGCATGTTATAGCAAATGACTCGCACAACGTTCGACTTATATTAAGATTCAGAAATAAATGATATACTTAATACATCACACTATACAGCACTCGAATCAAAATTGAATACAGATATAATAAAATCACTTTCTCACAGTAAAACTCATCAGCCTTGACACACACTCACGGGTTATCGTGCAATCATTCACACTTCATTTACTCTTAATTACTTCAATTCTAACATTTCTACATCGCCTCCAACACACAAATCTTTCCAATCTACTTTTACGAATTCCAATCGCCTCCAACACACGAATCTCTCCACTCTACTTTTGTCAACGACGTTTACGAAATTCCAATAAAATACATCGCTATGCAACAGAATTATCTTCTTTTTCATTATCACCATCGTGTGCCATCCTCTGAGGGGAACCATTCATCCCCTCTCGTTCCCTTATCTAGAGTGACGACTTGCCACTTGGCGAGCGAGCGGGAAGCCACGACGTGAGAGATGTAGGAAGACGGGGCTCTTAAGTGTACCTGTGCGCTCTTTGCCAAGGGACTGGCGGGGGAAGTAACGGTTGGGAGGCAATGAGTTCGAGATTTTTGTATAGAGATCTGATTTTTTAAATTGATTATTAGTGATTTAGGTTGATTTGTTGCTGTTTTTTTATCGTTCGAGATTTTTATAGAGATCTGATTTTTTTTTTACTGATTATTAGTTATTTAGGTTGATTTGTTGCTGTTTTTTGTGGTGACTATTAAAATTCAATTCATGAAGATTATTTCGGAATCCACCTGATTTTTATATTATGGTGGATGAGATAATTCATCAAGATAACTGACCTGATATATTTGCCATTCCCAAATGATATATTTTAATGTGAAACGTTTATAGTAAACTGGATTATATTTTCATATAAATCTTATACATTGGTACGATTAATATCAACAGATAACGATTAATTCTTCACCGGTTGGAGAACACATTTTTCTTTACTATTTAATATTTGGGAAACACAGAATCGACAACAGGAAACCGAAGAGTACATACACAGAACGAAGATGATAAAAGTTAAGCAGTCTTAGTACTGTTCATTTACTTTATTGTCACAAGTGACTTCAAGTCAATAGTTCTTTCATTAATTTGCAAATTTTGTTCCTATTATCTTCACCTGGCATCACGCTACATCAAAAAATCAAGATAAGTAAAGAAAATAACTTTTGAAAAAAATATAGTTTTTTTACTTTTACTCCATAACCGCTGATTAAATTATATTGTTTAGAAATATGTTCTGTAAAAGTAACAAAAAAGCTAGAAGCACTGCCCTAACTCAGCCTAGAAAAACTTTCATTAATGCCCTTAGTTATGTTCGCCTTCATTTATTTCCTCGGGTCAATAAAATTATCTGAACTACTCTATAGAAGTTCGAATAAGACTATTATGCTACAATACAATCCAAATTATCTTTTACTTTATGGATAAATACCCTATCATCTTCAAAATTTTCTGAGGAGCTTTTTTTTCAGAATGCCTTAACCCTTATATTTCCTCAAAACCCTAGAATTGTGCGCTGTATAATTCCAATTTTATATTTTCGTATAGACTAATAACTAATACCACCTACTCGTATATGCCTAGAACTTTCTACCCTTAAACTATACCTATAACTATAACCATGCATTTCCTCAAAATCCCAATTGAAAGGCTTTAAGAAATATATGCTGATATATCTTCAATATCATTATATTCCCTCACTATTCTAATCTAATATCTCATACTACCTATTCGTACATATTTAGAATTCCTCCCTTTAACTATCTATTATTTCAAAATCTCTCCAAAGGCAAAGAGAATTGAAACTTTTAATTGACGAGACATTTTGCTACACTGCTCCCTTTGCTACAAGCCAATGTACGCTGAGACTGATATAACTAGCTGAACCCTCATCAACAGAGCTTTAGCTACTTGTTATGGAGTCTAATTCTTACTCTAAAGCTTTGGAAAGAAGGAGGAAACAGTAAACAGGAAGGTTATATACCATTCTACTTCCTTTTTGTGCAATTATTTTGCAGCGATTCTCTCCAAGAAAAATGAAATAAAATCCTGAGTACACGGCGAGACTAAATCTCAAAAATAATCACTCATTCAAAAAATATCACTTGTTCCGGCGGGCTCTTTCCTGGGCCTCCACAAGAACCACAAAAATAAACAGACTGATAACATCCAGGCGGCTTAGAATCACGAACCATTAGATATCTGTATTTTTCCTTCGCATTTTTAATTTGGCAGTTCGTTTTATGAAAGATATTATCTAATTAGATAGTTTATTAAATGTGTTTTTTGTACAGTTTTTTTGGTTTTATATAATTTAGTGGAGATACATTTTAAATACGTTGGTATACACAGTTATTAGGACATTTATAACATTTCCGCGCAGTTCTTCACGAAGAACAAGAGGTTAGACAAGACTTTCCAGGATTCGCACACGCAGTCAGCACTGGCCTCTGTGAGCAACATGGACAACGGAGCGCTGAGCCCCTCCGCTCGCCTCTGAACTTTACTTTTAGCTTTACTTTTGGAGTTTGGATTGGCTTGATCACTAGATATGCATAGCTTTTCCCACATAGCTCTTTTATGAAAACAACGTTTGGAAAGAACAAAGAGGGAGATAGGAACACTTGCAGGGCGCTGGGCAGGTGGAAGTGTTGGCGGCGCGCGGCGGAGGGGCCAGAACAGCGCCCTGTGGTTCTCTTGCACCACACACACCACTGCGCTCACTGGTCTTCACTTCGAGCACTTAGAGAGACGGCGCACAACACTGACCGCTCACAAGGAGGACCTACGTGGTCGCTCGCCAACCTGGCGCTTAGGCAATATAACTTTGTCTGGCTTTGTTCTGTCGCCGGATACACACCGAGACACTGTAGGAGAGGCTTGCTGTTTGGCCGATCGGAGGAAGGTTAGCCTTGTGAGGGGAGCAAGACTCAGCAGCGCGGCGACTGCTCCTCAAGAGCCCGGTTGGCCTGCACACACGTAAATGGCGCCCAAGAGCTCCGCCACCAGATACCTGCTG